TATACCCAGCCCCAGTCCTTTTTATTTATTTTGACAGGATCTTGCTAAATTGCCAAGGTGGTCTCCAACTTTTGATCCTCCTGCCTCCATCTCCCCAGTAGTTGGGATTGTAGGTATTCAACACTGCCCCAACCACAAATATTTTAATAATATCAAGTAGTTTGAAATTCACATAAAAGTCTAAATCCTGATGACAAAGTTTGACTTGGAGCTCTAGGTTCCAAGGAGAAAAAAAATAAACTGAATTATTTTGCTGTGTCTTATTATATTTTAAAGACACACTATGATTCTTTCCTCATCCAACATTAATTTTGTGAATATTATATCTACCTTGGCTATTTAAAGATGAATAAATATATGGTTCTGGCCTTTTGGGAATTCAGTATCTAACAGGAAAGAATGTGAACAAATGATTATTATACAGTGGAATACTTTCTGAACTGCAAGAATTGCATGGCTGGGCTTCTGGGTTACTACACCATCTTGGCTCTAGTAGTCTGATGCCAGCTTGGGTACCTTGGCAAGAATTTGAACAGTTCCCACCTCCCAATTTAGGGTACAAAGGTCCTTATTTTAGTTACCTTTAAAAAAATTTTTTTTAATAGCACTGGGGATCAAACTCAGGGTTTCATGCATGTTAAGCATGTGCTACCACTGAGCTACACCCCCAACTCCTGTGACCTTCTAATATTTTATTTTTTGGTACTGGGGATTTAGCCTAAGGGTACTTTTACTAATGATATACAACCCTAGCCCTTTTAATTATCATTACTATTATTTTTTATTTTGAGACAGGATCTCCCTTAAGTAGCTGGGGTGGCCTTGAACTTGTGCTCCTCCTGTCTCAGTCTCCCAAATTTCTGGGATTACAGGCTTATGCCATGTACCCAGCTGACCCGTTTTTAAATTATATATATATATATATATATATATATATATATATATATATATATTAGTTGTAGTTGGACACAATATCTTTATTTAATTAATTAATTAATTAATTTTTATTTGGTGCTGAGGATCCAACCCAGCACCTCGCTTGTGGGAGGCAAGTGCTCTACCACTGAGCTACAACCCCAGCACCTCCTGACTTGTTTTTAACAGGACTCTTATTCTATGACTGTTTTTCTTCTCTGCCGTCAAGTTATCAACTTTCTCCACTGTACCTCCAGTTTAAATTCTTGAGGAGATTAATTTAGCTAAACAATATTTTTCCCATTAAAGAAGTTTTTCTGCCAGGTGTGGTGGCGCAAACCTGTAATCCCAGCGACTCTGGAGGTTGAGGCAGGAGGATCCCAAGTTCAAAGCCAGCTTCAACAAAAGTGAGTGCTAAGTAACTCAGTGAGACCTGTCTCTAAATAAAATACAAAACGGGGCTGGGAATGTGGCTAAGTGGTCAAGTGCCCCTGAGTTGAATCCCTGGTACCTTGCCCCCAAAGTTTTCCTGACAGGTCACCTGATAAAGACTGCTGACCAGCTGTGTTGAATGTGGCCATGGGGTTAGGGTCAGAAAGCACACAATGTAGCTACTGATATCCAAATCAATTATCTGTAGCCACTTTTCTTCAGCAAGGGCCTGTGAGGATAAAATCTTTGGAGGGGGCTGATTGGCCTTGCAAGTGAATGCCTTAGCCTGTCCACCATAAGTGATACACAATTGTTATCATTGATGGTCCTCTCTATTGAAGGAATAGAAAGTGCAATTTTCTGATTTAGGAAAAGGAATTTATTGGCTTATGTAATGAGAAGCCTAGAAGTACAGTGGAAATTGATGAATACATATTCTATTTCTTTCTTTCCTTATTTCCAGTATTGGAGATTGAACTCAGAGTCTCATGTATGTACCATTTGCAGCTAGAATCATTTTTTTTTTTTAAAGAGAGAGAGAGGGAGAGAGAGAGAGAGAGAGAGAGAGAGAGAGAGAGAGAGAGAGAGAGAATTTTTTTAAATATTTATTTTTTAGTTCTCGGCAGACACAACATCTTTGTTGGTATGTGGTGCTGAGGATCGAACCGGAGCCGCACGCATGCCAGGCGAGCGTGCTACCGCTTGAGCCACATCCCCAGCCCGAGACTTTTTTTCCACTCATGACTAATTCATTATAAGCAAATACCAATCTTAAATACAATTCTGGAATAAGTGAAGTCACACTGAATACAGATAAGAAAGTACAAAGAGCTCACTGGCTATGCAACACTAAGAGGATGAAAATCAAATTATTTTATACTGTAGATCTATATAAATAAATAAAATCACGTCTTTTTTTAGTATGTATATTTAGATTTCTTCTACAAATAATATTTCATTTCATTCACTTCAATAAGATTTGGTACTGGGTATTGAACTCAGGAGCACTTGACCACTGAGCCATATCCCCAGCCTTATTTTGTATTTTATTTAGAGGTAGGATCTCACGGAGTTGCTTAGCACCTCACTTTTGCTGAGGCTGGCTTTGAACCTTTGATCCTTCTGTCTCAGCCTCCCAAGTCACTGGGATTACAGGCCTGTGCCATAGCACCTGGCAAATTTATGTTTATTTCATCAATTTCCTGACATTTAACACAAGCAGGAATATCTTCAATAAATTGAGCATGTGAGTCCACAAATGTTTTGAAGAACTCTAACAAGTTGCACAGATCCCATGTCAAGTTGCATAGATCCCATGTTTCTCTTCTTTCTTTTAATTCCTTATATGAATTTCTTTACAGTTTGTGAAATTTCAACCTCCTTTTTGGCTTTTTCAAGGTTGTGGTAGGCAAGTGTCTTGGCAATTTTTACACCAAGATTTGGTATAGCTAGGTGGTTGTCAAGTTCCTCAGCATTCTCAATATTCCACTCCTCCATACAGTGCCTTTATTTTATATGGTGCTGGGGATCAAATCAAGCTCTTCACATGTGCTAGGCGAGTGGTGTACCACTGAGCTACAACCCCAATCCCTGACTTGCCAATTTTTTTTCTTTTTTTTTTTTTAGTATTTATTTTTTAGTTCTCGGCGACACAACATCTTTGTTGGTATGTGGTGCTGAGGATCGAACCCAGGCCGCATGGATGCCAGGCGAGCACTCTACCGCTTGAGCCACATCCCCAGCCCAAGTTATTAAATTCTATATCCCACTGGAACTAGTTTAGAGGAGCCAGAGACCAAGTCATCTGTCTGTTTGAATGCTCCTGATACACTTTAATTTTGCTATATGTGTCTTCTTTTATAAGCTCTGAAATCTTGGGGTTGAAGTTTTCTGTTTAGATTTTTTTTAAAAAATATTTATTTATTTTTTTAGTTTTTCGGCGGACACAACATCTTTGTTTGTATGTGGTGCTGAGGATGGAACCCAGTCCGCATGCATGCCAGGCATGGGTGTGCTACCACCTGAGCCACATCCCAGCCCAAGATTTTTTTTTTTTTTTTTTTGTACTGGGGATCAAACCTAGGAGCACTTTATTTATTTTTATTTATTACTTTAGTTGTAGAGGGACACACCATACCTTTGTTTATAAATTTGTTTTTTATGTGGTGCTGAGTACCTCACAGATGCTAGGCAAACACTCAGCCACTGAGCTGTCGCCCCAGCCCCCTTGCTAAGGCCTCACTCAGTTGCTGAGGCTGGCTTTGAATGTGTGATCCTCCTGCCTCAGCCTCCAGAGTCACTGGGATTATGGGCATGCAACACAGCACCCCCATAGCACCGTGCTATCTCTTTAAGGACAAGTAACACACAAATTAAAGTACAATGTTTCTAACAATACAAAGTAATACAGAGTAACCTAAAAGGACGTCAGTGTTTATCCTTCTGGTTGTAAAAAGGCACAGATTTTTTTTTTTTTTTTTTCTTTTTGACTAGGGATTGAACCTAGGGGCACTTTACCATTGAGCTATAGTCCCAGTCCTTTATTTATTTATTTTTATTTTTATTTTTTAAATTTAAGACTGTATCTCATTAAATTGCTGAGAGTGGCCTAAATTTGCCATCCTCTGGCCTCAGCCTTCCAACTTTTGTAGTGGGGATTCCAGGCATTCTCTACCACACCTGGCAAGGCACAGACTTTCATTTATAAAATGAAAATTGCACTTAATTAGCATTTTAACGAACAAAGTACTTTCACACACATTCCTTTATAAAGCCCTGGGGAGAAAGTATTAACCTTTATAAGGAAAAATAAAGAGGTATTTAAAATTTCGAGATGGTAGTATTATTACATACAGTCTCTCCCCTTTGGGCTCCCATTGTATTGTGTTCTGTTGGTACCTATGATATGGTAATACTTAAATTCACTAATAGTTTAACAATGAGTATTTTGCTCAATACCAGGCACTTGTTCTAGGCACTGTGATTACAAAAGTGAATGAAACATCCTTAAATTTATATACTAGTAGGGTAGGAGCAAGCTGACCATAAAATAAGAAAAATGCATGGTGTGGTAGATTGTAATAAGTGCTATAGATCAAAATTAAGTAGGGAAGGCAAAAAAGGAGTGTGCAGCAATGTTTCAGTTTTATGTAGGGTGCTCAGGGTTTGTTATTCTACTTCGACCAGCAGTTCTTCTAGGGTGGATACAAATCTCACTCGCCCTTTGCCTTCATACTCCCGCACTTCTCACAGCCTAGGCACCCAGGGATGTAATACTTCCATATCGAATGAACTGCAAACCTCCTGAGAAGCAAGCAGTCAGGAAACAAAGGTCTATAAAGTAGATATTGCTTAAAAGTTCCTGAATTGGGGCTGGGGTTGTGGCTCAGTGGTAGAGCGCTAGTCTAGCATGAGTGAGGCCCTGGGTTCGATGGTCAGCACCACATTAAAAAACTAAACAAAATAAAGGTATCCTGTCCATCTACAATTAAAATTTTTTAAAAAAAATAATAAGGGCTGTGGCTCAGTGGTAGAGTGCTTGCTGCATGGGTGAGGCACTGGGTTCGATTGTCAGCACCACATAAAAATAAATAATAAAGGTCCATTGACAACTAAAAAATATTTTTTAAAAAAGTCCCTAAATTGAATCACCTGATAATTTGCGATTAGTTTTATTCATTTTCACTAATTAAGTGAAGTTCTTTTCAGAATGTTTATATTACAGAATGAAAACTACATCAGATATTCTTACAGGCTCTTTGATGTACTTCAAACATCTTCTAGTTACCTTTTTGATCTCACTATCGTTAAGTTTCAGTGTGCGTGGTCACTTAAAAAAAAGGCCTTTGCCAAGTATTTCTTAATAGGAAGAGTAGGTGTTTTTTAGGGAAAAATTAGCACTTGGGGTTTTTACTGAGGTTCTTGGTCGGGACCAGTTATGAATGCATCGAACCTTTAGTGAATGAGAAAGCAAGGTTCTAATTCCCAGAAAACAAACCACGAAAAGTGAAAAACCCTGTAACAAGCCTCGTGGAGCGCCCAGCAGAAACCTTGACCTCAAGATGGCGTCGCGTAGTCATAAGATTCAGTCAGCTCCAATCAAAAATGGCAGGGTGGGTCCTAATTTTCGGCTCCAGCCTTTCTAGTCCCCACCAGGCGGTCCCTTTCTATGGTTGTTCGGCTCTGCCCGGTGAGCCCAAGCCAACAGAGGAGACTCTCTATACATGCTCTTCTCTATGGTTCTCTACTCCACGCCCCCGGTCGCTGTGCATGCCGGGCAAGAGGAAGACCTCCAGAAGCTCCCCGCGCATCGCGGCTGTGTTTGCGGCCTGTGCGAGTAGGCGCTTCGGAATTAGTCTCCCGGGCGAGCGGCGCGCAGAAACCTCGAACCGGTGGAGCCCACTCGTAACGTGGAGCCTAGAAGGCCGCGAAGACAGTACCGTTTTCTCAGCGGCAGGTGAGTTTACGCTTCTGAACGCCTGTGGAAACCGGAGGACGGGGTGCCTCAGCTGGAGGAAGAGGAAAAGCCAGGGTGGCTGCGAAAGGGCTGGGGTGGGGTAGGGGTGAGGGCTGGGGTGGGGGAGGGGACGGGCACGAGGCTTAGGTTTCTTCGCTTCTCTGAGGCCTCGAAAACCAGTGGGCCCAGGAGCCCGTGGAGGCCGGCCTTACCGCCTGAGCGTTCCTCTTTGCATTGTCGCCCAATTTCCCTTTCCCTTCCACGTTCTGCTACGGAGTGAATCGCTTTGGTCCCATCTCGGCTGCGCGTTAGTCACAAAATGATCGGTATGCCCCGGGGGGGCATTTCCCTGAGGTTCCTTTATTTATGGAGCTTGCACAGCACCCCTGTAGGTTTTTTCTGGCCTAGGACACATTGGCCCCGGGCCTTGAAACCAGTCTGAATCCATCTTTTTTAGAGAGGGTCTGGCCACCAACGGATTTCTTTCTCTTTCACTTTGGCCATCTAGAGCCCGTCCCACTCGAATTTATCTAATGCCCACCTGTTTTTTGTTTTTTTTTTTAAAGCATATTCCTGGCTTGCTCAAGGTTGTAATGAGTTTTGCCTTCCTGCCGCCTTTCCGCATTGAAGGATGCAGTAATCTGTTTCCATTCATTTTAAGTGATTACCAGCCTCGGCATTAAAATGTTATTTCATTTTCACCGTTCCTTAGTCTTAAGTATTGCTTTTAAACTATGTCTTTTAGAATAGATATAGGAATGTGAAGGTTATTTTGATGTTATGTAATATAGATTTAGATGGTCATGGAAATGCTGTTTTTGATACTGGGCAGAGTGAAGCAGACCAAAAGGAGGGAAGATATTGGACTTCTCTTGCACTAGACCGCTTTATTGGGAAGTACTGTGTATTAGGTAGTTGACAATGTGTAAAGATTTGTTTCATTTTTGTAGTAGTTTTTTGTTGTTTTTACCACTTTAAAAAAATCTTTATTTTGACGTTATTTTAGATTTACAGAAGAATTTATAAAGTAGTGTAGAGGATTTCTGTATATAGTTGGTACTGTGTTATCCTGTAGATAAATTGTGAAAGATTGAAGAGAAACTTTTAATTTTTAAAGATTATTACCAAAACATTTAGAGTCCAAGGAAGTCGTTTAGTTGATCATCAGTTCTCCTGATTCAAGTAGATGTTATCCTATTCTAATAATTCATTTTTTTAAAGCCTTGGTTTTCTTCATCTGTAAAACGAGTGTTATAATAGTAACCACATTTCTTCCAGTGTACTCTGCTTAGACTTTCATAAGCAAAGCCATAACTATTTGATTTCTTATTGGTATGTTATTGCTAGAAACAGACAGTAGAGTCTTTATATTGGTAATTTCAGGACAGTGGGGAGCCTTGGGAGTCTCCACCCACTTGCTGTGTTCAGTTGGACAAGTAAAGCAGCAACAAGCCGGCATGGCTCACACCTGTAATTCCAGCCATTCAGGAGACTGAGGCAGGAGAAGAGCAAGTTCCAGGCAAGCCTTGGCAGTTCAGCCAGACACTGTTACAAAAAATAAGAAATATAAAGTACTGGAGTGTATGTAGCACAGTGGTAGAGCCCCCCCGCATTCAAGCCCAGTACCTGCCCCCAAATTAATGAATTTACATTTGATAATTTGGGAATTAAGTAAGATAATGAAGACTTGCCAATAAAAGTAAATAAAAATGCTTATTAAATAATTTTGAGATAACCATTATCAGATTTTCTCTTATGGTCACAAGGTATTTTCTATGCCTTTCCTGTTTTTTTTTTTTTTTTTTTTTTTTTTTTTAAAGAAAGTGAGAGACAGAGAGAGGGAGAGAGAGA